GGCAAGCGGGTTGTACAGGCAAGCGGGTTGTACAGGCAAGCGGGTTGTACAGGCAAGCGGTTGTACAGGCAAGCGGGTTGTACAGGCAAGCGGGTTGTACAGGCAAGCGGGTTGTACAGGCAAGCCGGTGTACAGGCAAGCGGGTTGTACAGGCAAGCGGGTTGTACAGGCAAGCGCGGTTGTACAGGCAAGCGGGTTGTACAGGCAAGCGGGTTGTACAGGCAAGCGGGTTGTACAGGCAAGCGGGTTGTACAGGCAAGCGGGTTGTACAGGCAAGCGGGTTGTACAGGCAAGCGGGTTGTACAGGCAAGCGGGTTGTACAGGCAAGCGGGTTGTACAGGCAAGCGGGTTGTACAGGCAAGCGGGTTGTACAGGCAAGCGGGTTGTACAGGCAAGCGGGTTGTACAGGCAAGCGGGTTGTACAGGCAAGCGGGTTGTACAGGCAAGCGGGTTGTACAGGCAAGCGGGTTGTACAGGCAAGCGGGTTGTACAGGCAAGCGGGTTGGAGTACAGGCAAGCGGGTTGTACAGGCAAGCGGGTTGTACAGGCAAGCGGGTTGTACAGGCAAGCGGGTTGTACAGGCAAGCGGGTTGTACAGGCAAGCGGGTTGTACAGGCAAGCGGGTTGTACAGGCAAGCGGGTTGTACAGGCAAGCGGGTTGTACAGGCAAGCGGGTTGTACAGGCAAGCGGGTTGTACAGGCAAGCGGGTTGTACAGGCAAGCGGGTTGTACAGGCAAGCGGGTTGTACAGGCAAGCGGGTTGTACAGGCAAGCGGGTTGTACAGGCAAGCGGGTTGTACAGGCAAGCGGGTTGTACAGGCAAGCGGGTTGTACAGGCAAGCGGGTTGTACAGGCAAGCGGGTTGTACAGGCAAGCGGGTTGTACAGGCAAGCGGGTTGTACAGGCAAGCGGGTTGTACAGGCAAGCGGGTTGTACAGGCAAGCGGGTTGTACAGGCAAGCGGGTTGTACAGGCAAGCGGGTTGTACAGGCAAGCGGGTTGTACAGGCAAGCGGGTTGTACAGGCAAGCGGGTTGTACAGGCAAGCGGGTTGTACAGGCAAGCGGGTTGTACAGGCAAGCGGGTTGTACAGGCAAGCGGGTTGTACAGGCAAGCGGGTTGTACAGGCAAGCGGGTTGTACAGGCAAGCGGGTTGTACAGGCAAGCGGGTTGTACAGGCAAGCGGGTTGTACAGGCAAGCGGGTTGTACAGGCAAGCGGGTTGTACAGGCAAGCGGGTTGTACAGGCAAGCGGGTTGTACAGGCAAGCGGGTTGTACAGGCAAGCGGGTTGTACAGGCAAGCGGGTTGTACAGGCAAGCGGGTTGTACAGGCAAGCGGGTTGTACAGGCAAGCGGGTTGTACAGGCAAGCGGGTTGTACAGGCAAGCGGGTTGTACAGGCAAGCGGGTTGTACAGGCAAGCGGGTTGTACAGGCAAGCGGGTTGTACAGGCAAGCGGGTTGTACAGGCAAGCGGGTTGTACAGGCAAGCGGGTTGTACAGGCAAGCGGGTTGTACAGGCAAGCGGGTTGTACAGGCAAGCGGGTTGTACAGGCAAGCGGGTTGTACAGGCAAGCGGGTTGTACAGGCAAGCGGGTTGTACAGGCAAGCGGGTTGTACAGGCAAGCGGGTTGTACAGGCAAGCGGGTTGTACAGGCAAGCGGGTTGTACAGGCAAGCGGGTTGTACAGGCAAGCGGGTTGTACAGGCAAGCGGGTTGTACAGGCAAGCGGGTTGTACAGGCAAGCGGGTTGTACAGGCAAGCGGGTTGTACAGGCAAGCGGGTTGTACAGGCAAGCGGGTTGTACAGGCAAGCGGGTTGTACAGGCAAGCGGGTTGTACAGGCAAGCGGGTTGTACAGGCAAGCGGGTTGTACAGGCAAGCGGGTTGTACAGGCAAGCGGGTTGTACAGGCAAGCGGGTTGTACAGGCAAGCGGGTTGTACAGGCAAGCGGGTTGTACAGGCAAGCGGGTTGTACAGGCAAGCGGGTTGTACAGGCAAGCGGGTTGTACAGGCAAGCGGGTTGTACAGGCAAGCGGGTTGTACAGGCAAGCGGGTTGTACAGGCAAGCGGGTTGTACAGGCAAGCGGGTTGTACAGGCAAGCGGGTTGTACAGGCAAGCGGGTTGTACAGGCAAGCGGGTTGTACAGGCAAGCGGGTTGTACAGGCAAGCGGGTTGTACAGGCAAGCGGGTTGTACAGGCAAGCGGGTTGTACAGGCAAGCGGGTTGTACAGGCAAGCGGGTTGTACAGGCAAGCGGGTTGTACAGGCAAGCGGGTTGTACAGGCAAGCGGGTTGTACAGGCAAGCGGGTTGTACAGGCAAGCGGGTTGTACAGGCAAGCGGGTTGTACAGGCAAGCGGGTTGTACAGGCAAGCGGGTTGTACAGGCAAGCGGGTTGTACAGGCAAGCGGGTTGTACAGGCAAGCGGGTTGTACAGGCAAGCGGGTTGTACAGGCAAGCGGGTTGTACAGGCAAGCGGGTTGTACAGGCAAGCGGGTTGTACAGGCAAGCGGGTTGTACAGGCAAGCGGGTTGTACAGGCAAGCGGGTTGTACAGGCAAGCGGGTTGTACAGGCAAGCGGGTTGTACAGGCAAGCGGGTTGTACAGGCAAGCGGGTTGTACAGGCAAGCGGGTTGTACAGGCAAGCGGGTTGTACAGGCAAGCGGGTTGTACAGGCAAGCGGGTTGTACAGGCAAGCGGGTTGTACAGGCAAGCGGGTTGTACAGGCAAGCGGGTTGTACAGGCAAGCGGGTTGTACAGGCAAGCGGGTTGTACAGGCAAGCGGGTTGTACAGGCAAGCGGGTTGTACAGGCAAGCGGGTTGTACAGGCAAGCGGGTTGTACAGGCAAGCGGGTTGTACAGGCAAGCGGGTTGTACAGGCAAGCGGGTTGTACAGGCAAGCGGGTTGTACAGGCAAGCGGGTTGTACAGGCAAGCGGGTTGTACAGGCAAGCGGGTTGTACAGGCAAGCGGGTTGTACAGGCAAGCGGGTTGTACAGGCAAGCGGGTTGTACAGGCAAGCGGGTTGTACAGGCAAGCGGGTTGTACAGGCAAGCGGGTTGTACAGGCAAGCGGGTTGTACAGGCAAGCGGGTTGTACAGGCAAGCGGGTTGTACAGGCAAGCGGGTTGTACAGGCAAGCGGGTTGTACAGGCAAGCGGGTTGTACAGGCAAGCGGGTTGTACAGGCAAGCGGGTTGTACAGGCAAGCGGGTTGTACAGGCAAGCGGGTTGTACAGGCAAGCGGGTTGTACAGGCAAGCGGGTTGTACAGGCAAGCGGGTTGTACAGGCAAGCGGGTTGTACAGGCAAGCGGGTTGTACAGGCAAGCGGGTGTACAGGGCAAGCGGGTACCACTTGTACAGGCAAGCGGGTTTGTACAGGCAAGCGGGTTGTACAGGCCAAGCGGGTTGTACAGGCAAGCGGGTTGTACAGGCAAGCGGGTTGTACAGGCAAGCGGGTTGTACAGGCAAGCGGGTTGTACAGGCAAGCGGGACAGGCGGGGTTGTACAGGCAAGCGGGTTGTACAGGCAAGCGGGTTGTAAGGCAAGCGGGTGTACAGGCAAGCGGGTGTACAGGCAAGCGGGTTGTACAGGCAAGCGGGTTGTACAGGCAAGCGGGTTGTACAGGCAAGCGGGTTGTACAGGCAAGCGGGTTGTACAGGCAAGCGGGTTGTACAGGCAAGCGGGTTGTACAGGCAAGCGGGTTGTACAGGCAAGCGGGTTGTACAGGCAAGCGGGTTGTCAGGCAGCGGTTGTACAGGCAAGCGGGTTGTAAAGGCAAGCGGGTTGTACAGGCAAGCGGGTTGTACAGGCAAGCGGGTTGTACAGGCAAGCGGGTTGTACAGGCAAGCGGGTTGTACAGGCAAGCGGGTTGTACAGGCAAGCGGGTTGTACAGGCCTCTTGCTGTTCCTTTCTCCCGCAATTCAGCGTCTCACCATTCCCTACAATTCAGCGTCTCACCATTCCCTACAATTCAGCGTCTCACCATTCCCTACTATTCAGCGTCTCACCATTCCCTACAATTCAGGGTCTCACCATTCCCTACAATTCAGCGTCTCACCATTCCCTACAATTCAGCGTCTCACCATTCCCTACAATTCAGCGTCTCACCATTCCCTACAATTCAGCGTCTCACCATTCCCTACAATTCAGCGTCTCACCATTCCCTACAATTCAGCGTCTCACCATTCAGCGTCTCACCATTCCCTACAATTCAGGGTCTCACCATTCCCTACAATTCAGCGTCTCACCATTCCCTACAATTCAGCGTCTCACCATTCCCTACAATTCAGCGTCTCACCATTCCCTACAATTCAGCGTCTCACCATTCCCTACAATTCAGCGTCTCACCATTCCCTACCCCCAGATGGCGATAACCCATAGCCAGGAGCCCTATGCGCAGCTGATCATGGGGTATGCACAGGCGGGCATGTGGGGGGGGGTGGGCGCTGCATCGCAGCATGGGGTATGCACGCCCGGGCGGGCATGAGGGGCAAGGTGCATGCTGCATCGCAGCACCAATGAGCTCCATTGGTGCTCATTGCAGAGCAGAAAGGCCTCACTGCTCCGTTCTCTCTCCCTCCCTTACCCCCAGACGTCAGTACCCCATAGCCAGGAGTCCTATGCGCAGCTGATCATGGGGTATGCCGGGTGATTTTTGAGTCGACTCAAAAATCATCTGCAGGGGCGGGCATGAGGGGGGAGGTGGAGGCAATCCCCAAACAGCAGCACGATATGTGCAGAAGGGTCTTACTGCTCGTCTCTCGCTCTTCATTCGTCCCTAACCCCTTACCCTACCTGACCTGCCCCCAGATGTCGATACCTCACAGCAAAGAGTCCTATGCGCAGCTGATGATGGGGTATGCATGGGCGGCGTGGTTTATTTTGAGTCGACTCAAAATACACATGGGGTATGCATGGGCGGCGTGGGCATGAGGGGGTAGGTGCGCGCTGCATCGCAGAAACACCTCAATGCTCCTCTCTCTCCCCCTCCCTTTTCCCCAGATGTCGATACCCCATAGTGAGGAGTCGTACGCGCAGCTGATCATGGGGTATGCACGGGCGGGCATGTGGGGGGAGGTGGAGGGGATAGAGGCAGAGATGGAGGAGGAGGCCAGGCGAGGGAGGAGCAGCGTTACTGCTGCTGCTGCTGCTGCTGGTGCTGATGCTGCTGCTGCTGCCGCTGCTGGTGCTGATGCTGCTGCTGGTCGTGCTCATGCTGGTGCTGCTGTTGGTGTCGGTGCCAGTGCTGGTTTTGGCACTGGTGCTTTTGCCTCACTTGGTGACGATGTCGACATTGATATTGTGCCGGCCGCAGCGAGGGACAGTGTGGCGGTGTGCAACGCGCTGGTGGTGGCGTATGGCAGGGCGGGCAGGATGGCGCAGATGGAGATGGTGGTGAATAGGCTACGCGTGCTGTCACCAGATGGCACGCTGAAACTGGTGAGTTGTGGGGCGTGGTAGAGCATGAATGCATGCAGAGAAGTATGCATGGGAGGCCTGGGGTGATGGGAGGGCGGGCAGGATGGGGCAGAAGGAGATGGTGGTGGATAGGCTCAGGGTGCTGTCCCCAGAGGGCACGCTAAAACTGGTGAGCTAAGCGCGTGACTGTTGGGAATGCATGGGGGCTTGTGGCATAGCAGGTATGGGAGGGCGGGCAGACAGTGTGGTGGAAGATGAGAGGGTGGCGAATAGACTGAGAGGGCGCTGGCACCCAATGGCACGCTGAATCTGGTGAGCTGAGCGCGTGACTGTAGGGAGTGCATGAGGGCTTGTGGCATAGCAGGTATGGGATGGGAGGGCGGGCACGATGGGGCGGATGGAGATGGTGGTGAATAGGCTCACGGTGCTGTCGCTGCGCTGTCCCCTGCCGATCCTTGTCTCCCGTGCCTGCACTGCACCCACACCCATCCCTCGTCTCCCGTGCATGCACCCACCACACCTATCCCTCGTCTCCCGTGCATGCACCCACCACACCCATCCCTCGTCTCCCGTGCCTGCACCCACCACACCCATCCCTCGTCTCCCATGCCTGCACCCACCACACCCATCCCTCGTCTCCCGTGCCTGCACCCACCACACCCATCCCTCGTCTCCCGTGCCTGCACCCACCACACCCATCCCTCGTCTCCCATGCCTGCACCCACCACACCCATCCCTCGTCTCCCATGCCTGCACCCACCACACCCATCCCTCGTCTCCCGTGCCTGCACCCACCACACCCATCCCTCGTCTCCCGTGCCTGCACCCACCACACCCATCCCTCGTCTCCCGTGCCTGCACCCACCACACCCATCCCTCGTCTTCCAGGAGTCGTACAACACCCTCTTGGAAGTGTATGCCCGTCGCTGCGCCCGCGATTCGAGGAAACGAGGCAGACACAGAGCCCCTTCTCCCCCTGCCGCCGCTGCTGCTGCTGCTGGTGCTGCTGGTTCGATTGGCAGTAAGAAAATTGAGCCGACAGTGGCGAGTGGTGGTGGTGGTGGTGGCAAGACAGGGAATGCAAGAGCACGAAAGCGGAGGAGGCGGAGGAGAAGTGGAGCAACGGTCACCCAGAAAGAGGATGATGCGGCAATGGAGAAACAAAAGGAGGAAGATGAGGAAGAGGAGGAAGCTGAAAAAACGGCAGAGGGCTATGTGGAAAGGGATTTGGAGGAGGAGCAGGAGGGAGGGGAGGAGGAGGAAGAGGAGGAGGAGGTGAGAGCGCGGCAGGCGGCAGCGTTGGCGGATGTGGCACGGGTGGTAATGGAGGTGGAGGGAGCGGGGCACCGATTCACCATGCGCACCTACGCTGCTGTCATGCAGGCGCTAGGCCTGGCGGGCCATTTCGACCAGGTGTGTACATACATACATTTAACAAATGCATATTTACAAGTACTTTTGCATGCATATGGCATGTACAAGCGTATCTGCCCATTCACCATGCATGCTCCCATGCAAACCCTAGGCCTGGCAGGCCATTTGAGCAGGTTAGTAAATAAGAAGTTCATATGAAGTTTATGTATAGCTATATACATATATATACATGTAGTGTTCATACCCAAGCCACCAGTTCCCCATGCAGGCTGTTTGGGTTAATAGGGCACTCTGATTGACCAAGTCCGTTTCAAGATTTTCTGGGATGCCTATGCCCCCCGTTTTGGGTTGCTCGTCCGATTGAATGCCCTCCCTTCCAACCTATCCCCCACGCCCATTCCTTACGCCCATTCCCTCCTCTCCCCCCCCTCCCCCACCCCCCCAAATCCACCTCAGGTCAAAGGTCTGCTCTGGTAACAGCAGCCAGGGCGCATGGACTGGCACTGTCTCCCCCAGTGACCAGTCTACCGCATGCTGCTGGATGTGTTCGGATGGGGGGGTCGACCGCGGGAGGCACTATTGCTCTTAATGCCACGCCACTCACGTTTTCATTCGCCTCTGTATTCCCACCCATCCCCGCGATCCGTCCCAGGTGAAAGGGCTGGTAGCATCAGCAAGGGCGCAGGGGCTGCCACTCTTCCCACCAGCCCAGTCTCCAGCCCAGTCTACCGCATGTTGCTACATGTGTTCGGGAGGGGGGTCGACTGGGGGGCCACTATTGCTCTCACTGCAACTCGCGTTTTCATTCGCCTCTGTATTCCCACCCATCCCCGCGATCCATCCCAGGTGAAAGGGCTGGTAGCATCAGCAAGGGCGCAGGGACTGGCACTCTCCCCACCAGCCCAGTCTACCGCATGTTGCTACATGTGTTCGGGAAGGGGGTCGACTGGGGGGCCACTATTGCTCTCACTGCAACTCGCGTTTTCATTCGCCTTTGTATTCCCACACATCCCTGGGATCCATCCCAGGTGAAAGGGCTGGTGGCAGCAGTGAGGGCGCAGGGACTGGCCCTCTCCCCTCCAGTCTACCGCATGTTACTGGACGTGTTCGGACGAGGGGGCAGGCTGGGAGACGCCCTGCTGGTGCTGGAAGACTTGAAGAGGGCGCATCCCGGCCATGCTAATCTATCGGCTTACAACACTCTGCTGCTGGTGAGTTGTGTACTCGCTATAAGGTGCCTGGATATAAGAGTAATGGAATCTGGTACGTAGGAGAGGAGAGGCGTCGCTGGCTGACGCTCTGCTGGTGCTGGAAGATCCGGAGAGAGTGCATCCTGACCCTGCTAATCTATCGTTTTGAGGCGCCTCAAAACAAGATCCGGAGAGAGTGCATCCTGACCCTGCTAATCTATCGGCGTACAACACACTGCTGCTGGTGAGTCTGTACTCGTTATAAGGTACAAAAGTATGAGAGTGATGGAACCCGGTAGGTAGGAGACGCGCTGCTGGCGCTGGAAGATCGTTAGAGAGTGCTTCCTGGTCATGCCAGCCTCTGAGGTTACACCACACCGCTGCTGGTGAGTCTGTACTCGCTATAAGGAGCATTGAGATCTGGTAGGTAGGAGAGAGGTACTATTGGTGTTGGACGATCTGGAGAGGCTGCATCCTGGCCATGCCAACCTCTCAGCTTACAATACACTGGTGCTGGTGAGTTGTGTACTCGTTATAAGGTGCCTAAAGATGGGAGCAGTGAATGCTGCTGGCTGCTGAGGCACTGCTGCGAGGGTACATTATGCCCAATCACAACAACCTGTCTTACTGAGCGTTGAATTCTCTCCTTTAACATTGAATTCTCTCCTCTAACCTCCCCTCCCTCTCCCCTCCCTCTCCCTCTTCCCTCACTCTCCCCTCCCTCTCCCCTCCCTCTCCCCTCCCTCTCCCCTCCCTCTCCCCTCCCTCTCCCCTCCCTCTCCCCTCCCTCTCCCCTCTGCGCCAACTGCAGGCCCTGCAGGACGCCCATCCAGACCACATGCTGGCAGTGGTGGCCCTCATGGCCTCCCAAGGCATGCTGGCTGGCGCCAAGTGCCAGCCTGTAGGGAATTGATATCTCTCCTTGAATCTCCGTTAACCTCCACTCCCCCCCCCCTCTTTCCTCTCTCCCCTCCCCACTCCCACCAGGCCCTGCAAGACGCCCATCCAGACCACATGCTGGCAGTGCTCGCCCTCATGGCCTCGCAGGGCGTGCTGCCCAATCGCAACAGCCTGGCCGCCATGCTGGCAGCATGTGAGGCGGCCAACTCGCCACATGGCGCTGCCAGGCTGTACCTCCGGGTGGTGGACACGTGGCAAGAGGGGCCTGGCCTAGAGGGAGGTAGTGGGTGTGACGGCAAAGCAGGGATAGAGGAGAGGGAGGAGGATGGAGGGATCGAGGTGGGGCACGGAATGGAGGGGGCGGAGGAGGGGGAAGATGGGAGGATAGTTGCAGAGCAGCGACAACAAGAGCAAGAGGAGCAGGGGGGACCGCAGCAGAAGCAGAAGCAGCAGCAGCAGCAGCAGCAGCAAGGGCCACGGAGCCCCGGGTTGGAGATGGCAGAGAAGGTTCTGGGAATGTGCCGAGACGGGCTGCTGGCCAGGGAAGCACAGAGGGTTATGGAGGGCCTCCGGGCCAATGGGGTCACTCCGTCCAGCCGGTGCTACAGCGACGTGATTCACTGTGAGTGGTGCTGCTGTGTGAAATGGTGGGCATGGGGTGTTGCTGCTGTGTGAAATGGTGGGCACAGGGTGTTGCTGTTAGAAACTGTAGAGAGAAGAAATTGACTATAGAGGGAGATGGTACAGGGTTATATACCTAGGGAGCCAATCCTAGGTCAAGAGGTGCTTGACCAACTCAACCATTATTGGTTGGACCAATGATGGTTGGGAGGGTTGGACCACCAATAATAAAGGAGCCAATAATGTTGATGGAAGACCAATAAGATTGAACACCTCGATAGTTGGGGTCAAGGGTTGGTTGAATATCCAACCCCAACATGTTTCTAGACCCCTAGATAGCCCAACTTGGATATAGATACCCAAGTATAAGAAACTATGTAGGATAAAGAGAATGTTATATTCTAACAGTTGCTGCTGTGTGAAATGGTGGGCACGGGGTGTTGCTGCTGTGTGAAATAGTGGGCACGGGGTGTTGCTGCTGTGTGAAATGGTGGGGACCGGGTGTTGCTGCTGTGTGAAATGGTGGGCACGGGGTGTTGCTGCTGTGTGAAATGGTGGGCACGGGGTGTTGCTGTTAGAAACTGTAGAGAGAAGAAATCGACTATAGAGGGAGATGGTACAGGGTTATATACCTAGGGAGCCAATCCTAGGTCAAGAGGTGCTTGACCAACTCAACCATTATTGGGAGGGTTGGACCACCAATAATAAAGGAGCCAATAATGTTGATGGAAGACCAATAAGATTGAACACCTCGATAGTTGGGGTCAAGGGTTGGTTGAATATCCAACCCCAACATGTATCTACACCCCTAGATAGCCCAACTTGGTTATAGATACCCAAGTATAAGAAACTATGTAGGATAAAGAGAATGGTATATTCTAACAGTTGCTGCTGTGTGAAATGGTGGGCACGGGGTGTTGCTGCTGTGTGAAATAGTGGGCACGGGGTGTTGCTGCTGTGTGAAATGGTGGGCACGGGGTGCTGCTGTTGTGTGAAATGGTGGGCACGGGGTGCTGCTGTTGTGTGAAATGGTGGGCACGGGGTGTTGCTGCTGACCCCCTCTCAACGGGGTCACCCCGTCCAGCCGGTGCTACAGCGACGTTATTCACTGTGAGTGGAGGAAGAATACACTGTGAGTCGTGCTGGTGTCAAGTGGAGGAAGAATACATTGTGAGTCGTGCTGGTGTCAAGTGGAGGAAGAATACACTGTGATTCGTGCTGGTGTCAAGTGGAGGAAGAATAACAGCCAGGTTGAAAGGGAGGGAAGCAGGGAGAGTAGGGTAGTGGAGGGGCTCTGGGCCGATGGGGTCACTCCGTCCAGCAGGTGCTACAGCGACGTGATTCACGGTGAGTCGTGCTGCTGTGAAATGGAGCATGGGCTGCAGACAAAGGTAGCAGGGATGGTGCGGGAGGGCCTCCGGGCCAATGGGGTCACTCTGTCAGGAAGTGGGTGCTGACTGGAGGCGCATGGGGCCAATGGGGTCACGCCAGGCCATCCAGCAAGTGCATCACATCACCCAGTGGACTCTAAGTGAGTTACTCTCTACATCACGCACCTCTACTCTCACTCAAATCATGGCTGTTAACCTTCCGTTTTCCCCCCTTTTTCGCGGTTTCTCCCATCTTCCCCACCAGGTCACTCTGCCCTCGGCCAATGGCAGCAAGGGCTTGCCAACCTTTCCGACGCCCGAGACCACATCCTCACCCCCTCCTCCTCCCCCTCATCCCCCTCCCTCCTCGCCCTCACCCAGTCTCTCGCCTCCGTCGGCTACGAGCAAGCAGCCTACCAGGTCTTCCGCCGCCGCTTCACTCAGACAGCTACTTCCCTGTTCTTGGGCTTCGCTCAACTCACAGCTCTTTCCCCTCCCCTCCCCTCCCCTCCCCTCCCCTCCCCTCCCCTCCCCTCCCCTCCCCTCCCCTCCCCTCCCCCTCCAGGTCATTCCGCCCTGGGTCAATGGCAGCCAGGGCTCTCCACGCTCTCTCAAGCCCTCTCCCATGGATGCATCCCCTCCTCCTCCTCCCTCCTCGCCCTCACCCACTCTCTCGCCTCCGCCGGCAACGAGCAAGCAGCCTACCAGGTCCTCCGCCTCCACTTCACTCAGACCGGCACTGTGGACCTCGCCCTCTTCTGGAGCGTGGGGCTGCGCGTGCTGGCAGCCGCAGGGAAAGAGGCAGGGGAGGAGTCAGCGGAAGAGGCGAGGTTTCAGCAGCTGCTTGGGGTCATCGGGGTGTTTGGCAGCAACGTCCTAATGGGGCTGGGGATCCCTTACCCTGCGCAGCCGGTGCTGCGGTACCAAGGGCACGGGGAGGAGTTCAGAGCAGTGGCGGCGACCCCCCTGCAGGAGCAGCAGCAGCAGCAGCCCTTCACCCCGCGATCTGCAGCATCAGAGGCTTCAGACAGAAGCAGAAGCAGAAGCAGCGACGCCGTGCCTCGCACTCCCTCCTCCAACGCGCCTCACACGCCTCACGTGCCTCATCCACGTCACAACACATCTGACAGCAATGATCCCGTTTCCCACAGCCCGAACAGCAACAGCAGCACCAGCAGCAGCAGCAGCGGCGGCGGCAGGGCCAGGGGCAGCAACGAAGCAAGCTCTGCAACGCCGCCTAAGAAACCCAAGCATGCGTCCGACACAGCTCCCGACGCCCCCCCTTACGAGCCCCTGAGAGCACCTGAGGCGACTGAGAGCGCCCTCCCCTACGAGGCGTCCAGCATCATCCTCGTCCTGGCGTCCGTCCTCTCCATCCTCGTGGAGCGGGGCGACTTCGACGAAGCCCTGCACACGGCCCAAACCATCGTCAACGAGCACCTAGATGAGTACCTCAATATCGAGTACACCTCCCAAGACGCCCTCTTAACCAACCCGTACCCTGCTGGAATCCCGGAATCAGCGACTGCCACTACTTCTCAAAATGGTGTTCTCCCAAGAACAGACCCCGCATTCTTCCCTCTGGTGATCGCTTTCTTTCAGCTGGCACGGCAAGTGCCGATGGCCGAGCAGGGGGGGCAGGGGAACAAGTCCGTTCTCCTGCTGTTCCTCATGTCGCTGGCGGTTAGGTGCGGCGCGCCCCCCTTGGTGTCGGGGTTTTTGGTGGCTGGATGGGCCAAGGGGAATCTGGAGAGTGAGGTTGCTGCTAAGTCAGCTCAGAGGGGAGAGGGAGGGGCAGGGAGAGGGGGAATGAGAGGGGGAGTGAGAGGGGGAGGAGGGGGGGGAAGGGGGGGAAGGGGAGGGGGAGGGAGAGGAGGGGGAGAGGGGAAGTAAGAGGTAGTGAGAGGGGCGGTGGAAGGGGGCAGGGGAACGGAGGGAGAGGGAGGAAGTCAGGGGATGAAGGAAGGGTGAGAAAGGGGTTTGGAGGGAGAGGGTTTGACAAGGATAAGAAGGGGTTCGGAGGGGTGAGGAGACCGAAACAGGATGACATGTCTGGGGTGGCACAAGGAGCAATGGAGGGGAGGGAGAGGGACAAGGAGAGGAGGTTCTCTGAGGCGTCGGAGGGAGGGATGATGGAGGGGAGTGCGGGTGAGGATGAGTGGGAGCTGCTGGCATCTGTGGAATGGGAGAATCAAACACCTGGGGAAAATGGCAAAACTCCTGGGGAGAATCCAGCCGCCAGCAAGAGCACGAGCAGTCGCAATGGCAGCAGCAGCAGCACAGCCAGCAGAAAACCTGCCGATGTGGATGCTGACGTGGACTCGGACAGCGCTGATGAGGCTGGCACAGAAGCTGACAAGGCGAAGGCTGACATGGATGGCACGGATGACGTGGACCCTCTCCAGGACATTAATTTCGAGGCCGACCCTCAGTCCATGCGAGTTCCTCCCCGGGTCCTCTGGGAATTCAAGACCTTCCTCACCCTTCCCCCCCGCCCGCTAGACTCCTGCCGGGCTGTCGCCAACGCTGTTGTCGACGCGGCCTACTGCCTGGGCCTGCGCCAAGCAGCTTCAGAGTTCTTCTACGCTGCGAACGAGGCTCGGATGTTCCCGGACCTGTTCCGAGCCGAGGGGGATGCCCTGGTGCTGTCGTTGCGGCTGGTGTCGCCGGCAGGGGCGGCGATCGCAGTGGCCGGCCTCGTTCGTCTCTGGTGCAGCGAGTCCAGACACATCCGATCAGTGGTTACTGGTCAGTGTCAGGCTGGATCAGATCCAGGCACTCCTGAGGGGGGCAAGAAGGGCCAAGGATCTGGCCAAGCATCTAGGGACTATACTCCAGGATTGGGGGGTCCTAGGGGCTCGATTCCAGGGTTTAGGGACCCTATGGAAGGGGCGGGTCTGGGTGGGGCGTTTGGATTGGGTACGGAGTTTGGGGTGCTGGAGTCTCTGCACGGGTTGGGGCAGGCTATAGGTGGCAGGGCGGCAGGTGAGGGGAGAGGAGGGGGGGAGGGGAGTGGGGGGAATGAGTGGAGTGGAAGGGGTGTTGCTGTAGGGGGGTTGGGTGGAATACAGGAGGTGAGGATTGAGATTGCTCGGGAGGATGAGATGCTGTATGAGCGAGGGGGGGTGGCGATGTGGGTGTGGGAAACGTTGAAGGGTCTGGAGGTGCCAGGGGAGTTGGAGTCGGGGGTGGACGCATGGGGGTGTGTGTGGCGGTGTGGGGTTGAGGACATGGCGGCTTGGGGGGAGCGGCAGAGGGCAGGGTGCGCAACACAAGCTGGGGATGGGGGTGTATGAGCGAGGGGGGTGGCGATGTGGGTGTGTGAAACGCTGAAGGGTCTAGAGGTGCCAGGGGAGGTGGCCTGGGGTGCGGAGGCGTGGGGGTGTGTGTGGAGGTGTGGGGTTGAGGATATGGCGGCATGGGGGGAGAGGCAGAGGGGCATCGGGCGGGGTGGAGTATATTTTTGAGGCGCCTCAAAAATAGACTCCTCACGGCGGGGAGGAGATGAGAGTGTATGAGGTGCTGAGGGTCTGGCCTCGGCAGGTGCCTGGGGGAATGGAGGAGCGAGAGCAGGCGTGGGGTTGATGATATGGCAGCATCGGGGAAGAGGCAGAGGAGCATGGGGCGGGGAGGAGATGAGAGTGTATGAGGTGCTGAGGGTCTGGCCTCGGCAGGTGCGTGGGGAGGCAGAGTGGGGAGCGGAGGTGCGGGGGTGGAGATGGAGGTGTGGGGTTGATGATATGGCAGCATGGGGGGGGGGAGGGAGGGAGGAGGGCAGCGGGTGCAGGGCAAGGGTGGGGCGGATGAGGGCGGATGAGATAATGAGGGATGTTGGTAGTGGCTTGGACGTGCTGCTGGTTTGGAGGTGCTGCTGGTTTGGAGGTGCTGGTGGTTTGGAGGTGGACGAGGGAGAGGAGGCGTGGGGGTGTGTGTGGATGTGTGGGGTTGAGGATATTATGCCACGGGGGAGAGACAGAGGGCGGAGAGCGTAGGGAAGGGCTGAGATCGTGAGTCGACTCAAGAGTCACTGCATACTTCTACTGAGTTGTCTCAAAAGTTAGCTTGTTGCCGTACTGCTACTGCTCTGAGACTGGGTGTGTGAGACCAGATTTTGCTGCTCTTGTGCTGCATCCAACAGTTGTGATAGGGTTACTTACCTAGTATTCATATGGTAGTGTGAGGGGATTAGGCGCTGGAGGCGCCAGGGAGAGGGAGGAGGGGGAAGAAGGGGGAAAAGAAGGGGGGCGTGTGAAGAGCCGTGGGGTTGAAAGAGGATGGCATGGCGGCGGGAGGGAGTGGGGGAGTGGGGGAGTAAAGGTATGGAAGCAGGATGAGGGTTTGACCGTGATTGTCGGTGGTCAATCTTCCTTGAAGGATCGGTCGGTCACTGATTACAACCGTACAGGCAAATGCTTGGCGTGGAGGACCCATTGAATGGGCGAGCGAGCAAGGCGAATGCTTGGCGTGACCCCATTGCCCAACCATGAGCCACTCATGGAGTCGCATGGTGGTGATAATGAAATACGGTGTTGTGGTGCGGTACGCTGTAACTTCAGAGAGAATGGTCACAGCCATGTTCATTTGCTATTGCTTCTTGTGCAATGTACAAAAAGGAATTGCAATGCAACGCACCATCAACATCAGGCGCCTCCTTCCATCCACTTTGCCGTGATACGCTGTCAACAAACCACAATCAAACCGCCCAGTGCAGCACATGACCGTTTGGTGGACTTGTACGTAGTGCTTGTGGTAGCACAGCAATCCATTTCTACCTACACTATAATTCAATGCATTAACACTTGCAGTGTAGAACAACGCCCGACTGAACGTAAGCTCCTGCAATGGTGTGGCATGCTTTGGGGTTGGTTCAACAGGAGCACAGCGAAAAAAAAAAAAAAAAAAAAAAAAAAAAAACGGACACATTTCTTCAGCTGTATTACCATAACTGAGTGGTAACCTCAACTCCAGCTCCTCTATGAAAGCCACTGCAGCATGCAATAGCAAAGCCATGTCCGTTTTCAAAGCCAGGTTTGTCGGGTACTTCTGACGCATCCACGACAGAGGGATGGCTTTCTCCAGCCGCTTCAGTCCCTCGCTGCATGCACAGTTGAAGGAAGGTAAAATCAACGGTAAAATACATGGTATAACAGGAAGGTAAATATAAAATCGTGATTAATCAGCCTCCGTCGCGGCAGCTGGGGTGGCGGCAGCAACAGCGACGGGAGCAGCACGTCCCTGACTCTGTGTTGCCTGATCTTCTCCTTGGCACTCCGCTGGTGAATAGGCGGCCATGCAACCACAAGTTTTGAGCCAGTGGGAGGGGTCACAGTGGTTATCGGGGTTGATCCGCTCAGTGGGGCTATCGGTTCTGAGCCGCAGGGTGGGGCTGTGGGGGTTGGGTATGCTGCCTGTGCTGCTGGATGTGTGGCTGATTGTGTTTATTCTTGTGCTGGCCCTTGTGTCGCTTCACGTGTCACCTCACGTGATGGCTGTGTCATCTCCTGTGCCGCCTCAGCAGCAGCAGCAGCAGCAGCAGCAGCAGCAGCAGGTGAAGGACTGGAAGCAGCAACACAACCTTGAGGCAGCGAGCCGGTAACCCGATAACCGGATGGTGACAGCAGTGGCGGCGCTGGTAGGACTGCCCCCATGACACCATCCAGCCACCTTCCATCACCATGATCGTTGGCTGCAGCCATTGCATCATCTCAAGCACCTCAAAACCATCCATGGCCACGCTGGCGTCAACGCCAGGTGATTCCACTACTGCTGGCACAGCCGCACTGGTGACCGGAATACTGGGAGCTGACGTCACTGTGAGAGAATCTCCCCATGCCGAGTCAGCAGCGCCTGTCAGGGGGGCATATTGGACAATCCTCGCCGATTACTGATTCTCTGCGCATCCGCCCGACAGGGGGAGAGGTTGAATAGCCCCTGATGGCCACTCGGTCTCTGCCCGTTTGATTGTCAGGGGGATAGGTTGGACCATTAATGGCTGCTGCTGACTCTCTGGCCATTGGCTTGACAGGGGGACTTGGTGCTGGGACCAAGCCGTCAGCCCTTTTTCGTTCAAGCGAGCGCCGTTTTGGGATCCTGGAGCCCTGCCAGTTGCTACCAGCCACTGCTGCTGCTGCTGCAGCAGCTGCTGCTACTTCTCTGTCTGAGAGTGCAATGCACGGCAGTCAATAGGGCACGCGGGCGAGCAGCGGCCGTTGACTCTGAAAGGCAGTTCCCACGAAGCCGTCTGGTGGCCGATGGTACCCAGTTTTACTAATAGTGGACGGTGATTCATCAAGAGCACACGGCTCTGGAAAGTGGCCCTTTTGAGAAGCAACCCGAAGGGCCGAAGGGGAACCTTCAGTGCTTCGGGAAAGGAGTAACTTCTGCCTGCCTAGCAGCGAGCCCAGCCAAGTCAGATTTTACAATAGGGAAAGAGCTTCGCCAGAAAAACGTGCGTCAGCGCACTGGGCAAGTAGAAGTCAAGTTGCTTCCACACAAATTGCCAAAGCCGGGTTTGATTCGGCACAAATTGCCTGCAGGAGCCGGCTACTTTCAGAGACGTGGCATGAAGTGAATAAAGCGTACGGAAAGGCAGATGGGGCTTTAAAGCCTTCAACGCAGTTGCTATGGGCTACAACGGCTCCGCCTTGAAAGGTTCCGGGACTTCCACGGTGCAAGCTAGCAGGAGCGAGGCAAAAGGCATGGGGGGGGGAGACCCTCTCGAAGCACCACAGCTTCACTGACAGCTTCTTGAAGAATGCCGCATGGAGCAGGGAGCAGGGAGCAGGGAGCAGGGAGCAGGGAGCAGGGAGCAGGGAGCAGGGAGCAGGGAGCAGGGAGCAGGGAGCAGGGAGCAGGGAGCAGGGAGCAGGGAGCAGGGAGCAGGGAGCAGGGAGCAGGGAGCAGGGAGCAGGGAGGAGGGAGGAGGGAGGAGGGAGGAGGGAGGAGGGAGGAGGGAGTAGGGAGAGGACGCAATTCTGAGAATGCAGGAGTGCTGAGAATAGAGGGGCATTTTCAGAATTGCTCCTCGCTACGACTAGTAATTCTAGGGAGGCGGCTGCTTTTCTAGCTTGCATGGTCACCTAAATTCTCAGCTGGACTTGGGGGGAGGAAGAGGGGAGGGGGGGGGGAGGGGGGAGAGGGGGGGGAGGGGGGGGGGAGGGGGGAGAGGGGGGGGAGGGGGGAGAGGGGGGGGAGGGGGGAGAGGGGGGGATCAAGCGAACAAGTCAGTAGATTTGGCCGCCTGGACTTTCGACACAGTGCGGTGACGGAACGGCAGCAATTACTGTACCATAGCTACTAGATTGAATGCCCCTACTCTAAAATTGGGTACCCATCCAAAAATTGCTGGGCCCCGAAAGTTACTTTTGGACCTCCCGAAAGTAACTAGGGTTGAAGTTACCAATTAGCATACAAGTGAACTCACTTTTTTTTCGAGACGCACTCACGGTCGCATTGCGGGGAGACCGAAAAATTATGGAACCAATCTGACGGGTTCGACTGTGAGGCTCGGCAGGTTGTCGCGCTAGCTAGCCAGATCAACTGGTGGCTAGCTAGCACAACAGCTATGTAGTATAAATGGAGGTGTAGATTGCGAAGCATAACAACGACAATGGTGTAGCAGCAGAAGCAATTCACGGAGATGCAGCACCGAGGGCGGCAGTATCGAATTGGGACCAGTTCGCATAAGCAAGGAGGTGGCGAGAGACAGCATGATCCCAGCCCGGACAACCCAGGGACTAATCACCCAGCTCGAGAGGCGTTTCACGATCATCACGTGTGGCGCCCGTGATTGGATGAGGGCAAGTCCAAGGTTTTGCGTGGGATTGTAAATAGCCTGTACTCTAGTTTGATTCCTGCTTTTTCGCTTGTTTGTTTCCGTCATTCTGCAATGTTCTCACTTTGACTGCAAGAGACGGGCAGTGGAAGGAATTCAGGTTCACTTGCTTCAGATCTAGATCATCGAGCAGGAACTTGTTGCAAGAGTAGCTTGGAAAGACAGTACAGCAGAAGGTCCGAGCCAGTGCAAGAGGGGAAGGGACAGGTCGGGAGGGAGGCAGGGCCGTACTCTGCACAAGCACGGGGAGGACAGGGAGGGAGGAAGGCATGACAAGGTATCCCTATTGGCCCTGGTGGTTGGCTTTACGCAACGAAGGTTGGCCCTCCAACTTTCCCGCCAGTTCAGTAGCCCAATCGGAATTGCACTTACAGAAGTTTCTCATTTGTTCGAAAACTGACACCGGCGCCTCGTCAGCATTAATTTTGATAGGCACTTATAGGCGTCAAGTGTTCTCAGAACTAAACCCCCCCCGTTTCCGCCTCCCCCGCATCATCCGCCCCACTCCCCCGGTTCATCCGCCACCAATCCTCCCCCTCCCCTTTTTCCCCATGCACATTTTTGGCGTGACGCGAAGAGCCTCGCAAGAGTCAACGGTTGCCTCTTGTTCGTTCTAGTCAGAGCTGGCAGTAGACGACATTTCAGGTACTATGCTACGTGTGCGGCTGAGATCCTTTCTAAGATCCTAAACAGCACGGGCCTGAGACTCTGAGGGGCTAGCTACCGAAGGTCCAGGGAAAAGGAACCAGATTAGGACGATGGAATGACAAACACACCTCAATATTGTTTGAGGCCCTACTACAGCTGCGGGCAGCCATGCGTTGACCGCCTTGTGTCGGCGCCAACCATTAGGTGATGGCGCGCCAAATGCCTGGCAGCTGCGGGTTGCCGTAACCAAGAGACATAGACTGGTCCCGTGATTTCCGTGAGGGACTTCCATGTTGTGAGTGGCACGTGATGCGCATGCCACATTTTTCTCGCCACTCCAACCCCTCCCCCTCCAAAACCGCTCGTTACAATTCTTCACCTACCCCAACCCATTTTCCACCAACCAAACCTACTCTACCTACCAAATTTCCAACCCAACTTTTCCAGCTCATCTCCTCCAGCCTAAGGCCTCCCAACTACTCCTTAATTTTCCCCAACTCTCATAATCATTCCAAGTCCACCTCAACCAAGCTTCCAACAAATCCTCCTATTCATCTCCAACTCCCACGTCAAGGCACATGCCTCTTCATCATTTTCCATGTGCTCTCTCTTCCTACTCATAAAGAATTCTCCAAGTCATCTACTCTAACCAATAATCCTCCTCACATGTGCCTCAAGCACATTCCTCCCTTCCCTACTCATCAACCTCCACTAGGGTTGAGCAAACTACCCGCCCGGGTCGGGTACCCGGTACCCGGACCCGCTTTTAGGGCGGGTCGGGTATCGGAAATCCTGAAAATTACCCGGCAGGTCGGGTCCGGGTTACCCGGGCCGGGTATCAATACCCGCTACCCGAAATGCTACCCGACGTGTCGGGTAACGGGTACCCGACCCGGTCGGGTAAAAAATTACCCGAGGTCGGGTATTCCACCTAGACATGGGCGTAAGTCGTGCTGTGTTTTAGGTTTTGCGGCAAAAACGGTTTTGGAGGTGAGGGGGGACGAGTGGTGCATTTGTGAGGAGAGGTTGGAGTTTGTAGATGGGTAGGAGTTCAGTGCGGTGAAAGGGAGGGAATTTTGTTGAAAATGTTGGAGTTTGTAGACACGGAGGAGTTCAGTGCGGTGAGAGGGAGGGAGTTTGGCTGGAAATTGGAGTTTGTAGACGGGAGGAGTTCAGTGCGGTGAAAGGGAGGGAGTTGGGTGGGAGTTGGAGAAGAGGTTGGAGTTTGT